GCGGGGGGCGCGGAGGGCGCAGGGAGCGAGGGCGTGACCCTGCAGCGCAGCATCACGCTGCTCAACGGCGTGGCCATCATCGTGGGCACCATCATCGGCTCGGGCATCTTCGTGACGCCGACCGGCGTGCTCAAGGAGGCGGGCTCGCCGGGGCTGGCGCTGGTGGTGTGGGCCGTGTGCGGCGTCTTCTCCATCGTGGGCGCGCTCTGCTACGCGGAGCTGGGCACCACCATCACCAAGTCGGGCGGCGACTACGCCTACATGCTTGAGGTGTACGGCTCGCTGCCCGCCTTCCTCAAGCTCTGGATCGAGCTGCTGATCATCCGGCCCTCCTCGCAGTACATCGTGGCGCTCGTCTTCGCCACCTACCTTCTCAAGCCGCTCTTCCCCACCTGCCCGGTGCCCGAGGAGGCCGCCAAGCTCGTGGCCTGCCTCTGCGTGCGTGAGTACTGGCCCCGGGACCCGGCGGTGGCGGGGCGGGGGGCGCAGTCCTCCAGGACCGTCTCCGGCCGTCTCCGGCTGTCCCCAACGTCCGGCTTCCCCGGGCGTCGCCGCTGTTCTAGACTAAGGCCACGTGCGTTTCATTCATTCGTTTCCACATCACTTTGGGAAATCCGCAGTGAGACAGACAGCAGAGTCCCCGCCCCAGTCCCTGGCCGGAACTCGGCTTCCCACTCAGTCCGTCCAGAGCCGTTGAAGTGAGCAATACCCCTGCCTTCTTGCAAAGGCTCCCACGTGGAGCGTCTGAAAGCATGTTTCCTGTCTGACTTCCCAAATGCTTACAATTTGTCAAGAGAAAGAAATTGCATTTTAAAAAAAGCATTTAAATCAGCTTATCAGGAAAGGCTGACTCATACAAAACCAGTAGTAATAAAGTCTGTGTGGGTGGCTGAATGAACGTTGCTGGTTCAGGCGGCAGTGCTTAGTTCCTGAAGGCTGCCTGCTCTCTGAGAGTAAAGGGGGCTCAGCTGCAGCTTAAATGTGTGGGTTTGGGGGTCCCAAGTTGTGCTGAAGAACAGCCATTGGCCAGAGTCCCAATGTTGGACAGGGTCCCAGTATGTTGGTGGATGAGGTCCCAGTATGTTAGTGGGCTGTTTTCTCCTGGGATTTCAGAAAAGAAGAAGTAACAGCACCTGCATGAAAAGCCACGGAATTTTCTTATCTTTTCTTGGTTTCTTGGCTGTGGCAGTTTTACACCTACCCCCTGGCCCGCCTCTAAGGAGGCTTGCAAGACGGACGTGCCCTGCTTTCAGAGCTGCCACCTGATTTGCGGCTCTGCCCAAACCCTGATGGTGCACAGATGTGCAGAGCTGGCAGGGCTGGTGTGTGGTTTCTCCGGTGGGAGCCCGAGACACAGGGCCTGTGACCTGGAGTGGCTTCTGCCCAGCAGTGCGTGCTGGTGCTTTTGGGATTCTGGAGCGAGCGGGCAAGCTTCCCACAGAAGCTCACTGCGTGGCGGTGATGGGGGCCAGAGCGGGGGTCTTTCAGAGCTCCAAGGCACACTCCAGAAAGCGGTGACTCCAAGAGGCCTGAGATCACATGCTCCTGGGACTGTGACAGAGCAGTCACGCCTGGGAAGGGGGACATTTTGCCTTTTGGGGGAGTCTCGGCGAAGAGGATTTCGGCTTGAAAAAATTTTTGATCCAAATCTAGGAACAGTCAAAGCAATTCTCAACCTGCCTGAGGACAGGGGAACCTGGTGGGCTCTTGAGGTGATGCTTTTAGACTAAGTAAGAAAAAGTCCCTCTTTGTTGGCTTTTGTTATTAGGATGATTTTAATGTCTGATCTTCACCGTGGCTAGATCCGATTTAATGTTCCCACCCAGGATGTAATGACACAACACTATCTTTAAAGGGCCTGCTCTTTAGTCTTTAAAAATGGACCCCTTATTTTCTAAAACTTTGGGGTTTAAGCAGGTAAAGCGTCGGGGTGGGTTCTGGAGGGGCCTTGGCTACTAAGTCACAAGGGTCATGTGAACAGCACCCCTTTTGGTGTGAGCTAGGGTGACGGGCTTCATGTGTCCATCGGCCATTTGGAGCTCTTTTCCTCTGAAGCACCCATGTGAGTGTGTTGTGTGTGTGCGAGTTGCTTTTTCCCATGAAAAGAAACTTTCGGTAACAGAAAGGAATATGCTGTCTGCAGGGGTAAGTGCGTGGTCTGACTTGTCCAAGGCCAGCAGAACTCAGAGCTGGGCACCGGCAGCTCACACTCGTGCACAGAGAAGTCTGGACTTCCCAGGAAGGGACCTACCCCTGGGGGAATCTGAGAAGGCTGTGAAGGGCCACGGAAAGTTTCTGAGTGTCATTTGCTTGTTGCACACAGGCCAGGTTCTAGAACTTCTCCCTCACAGGAGAAAGGGCCCTGTGCACTGCCTGTGTCCGCAGCCCCTCCTTACAACGGGCATGTGCCTGGGGCCCCGGGCTGTTTTCGGGGTCTGCACTCCAGCCTGGCAGCCGTGCAGTGGGTCGTGAATGGCCACGTGGCCGCTCTTTCCAGTGGTGGGCGGGGGTTCTAGAGCCAAGTTCTCATTTTCGCAGGTTGATCTTTTCAGTCCTCTGGGTGCCCCTCTGCTCCTTGTGATGCCAGTTGGCTTTGGTGCTTGAAATGATCCTGCTGACAGGGTAAATGGGGTGGGGGGGAATCCCTTTTCTGGTAGGTCTGACATAGAAGTGACAAAATGGGGCCCTCCGTGTGTGGCCCTGGTGTTTTTGTCTGTAACGAGTCATGAAGGTGAGAGACGCTAGGCTTGCTGGCGCTGGGAGACTGGTATGAGACCCAGCTTACGTGGGTTACTTACAGCTTAGTGAAAACTTGGTGGCGTTTGTTTGAGATTCAGGTGACACGGGTTTTATCTTTGCGGAGAAGTCGCTCAGGTGAGCTGAGATTATTCCTGGGCCAGGTTTTCATCCCCAGTTTTTCCAGCCTCCCTGGCCGCTCTCTCTGAGATGGGAATGGTGGCATCTGGAGAGGCCGGAGGCAGGAGCACACAGGGAGCATGGACCCACCGTGGTTCAGAAACCCAGCTGTGCCCTAACGGGTCCTTGATCTCACGGGAGAATCTCCTAGAAGAAGGGAGAGCCTGAACCCCCGTCCCTCTGCTGACTCAGCCTGTCTGAGCTGTGGTCCCTCTTGTCCAGGGCACGCAGGTGTCAGGGAGGTGGCTGCAGACCTCTGGGCGCCCCCTCCTCTCCCTCCCACTGGATAGGACAGCCACCTGCACCCCCTAGTTGTCATGCATGTCACCCATCAGTCTTAGCAGAAAGAAGGAAGGGAAGAGTTGAAGGGGAGGGAAGGCCAGCAGTTCCCTGTGGGGCAGGGGCCGAGCGGAGCTGCCCATCGCACAGGTGTCAGCCTGTGGCCCTGCCTGGTGGGGATGGGGCAGGGTGTCGGCACCTCCTGGGGCTGGGGACACGCCTGTCCTTCTACAAGGAAGGGTGCAGATCAGGCATGGGTTTTGTGGCTGTGGGTGAGTCATGGCCAGCTGACCCCAGGGTAGGTCAGTCAGTTGGGGTGATGACCCGGAGGAGAGGGGAGGCCATGGCAGCATGACTTCCCTCCCCCAGCCCCTCCCTGTGACTCTGTCCTGATGGTGTGGCCCCATCCTATGCGATGTGCTCACCGCTGTGTCCCCTGTCACAGCGAGGCCTGCATACAACTGCCGGTTCAGTGTGTCTGGACGTCTGCCAGCCGCTTGGCGTCAGCCCCTTGCCACGTGAAGCAAAGGCCTCTAGGTGTTTCCAAGGAGCTGGCCACCCCAGCATCGGGAGCTGTGAGCTGAGTGCAGACGGCAGCCTGGTAATTAGCACTGAAATCTGACTTTCCCAGCCAGACATGAAAGCGCTCCAGCCCCAAGTCACGGGACAGGCTGGGGCCCGGCAGGGACTTCACAGGGCGCGAGACCCAAGGGAGGCGGGAGATGCTGGGTGGGCGTCTCTGGCCGGTTTCCCCTGGGTCATGGACCCCTTTGATAATCCCATGGAATGTGCGCCCGGCATACCCAATCCAAACTCGTAGTCACGAGGTTCCCGGACGCCCACAGTCCCAGCCGGGTTGGAAGCCACCCCTGCCCCCTGAGAGCATGGCCCCGTCAGAAACTGCCCAGCCTTTGAAATCGGTGTCAGCATCCCCCAGGTTACAGCCAGGGAGACCAAGGCAGTGGTGGGTGGGAGCCGCAGCTGTGTGCCCTCTTCCACCTGAGCCGTCTTTGTCTTGGCGAGGGTGGCAGGTGCCAGGGGTCTGCCACAGTGTCGGTTACCACGTCCAGGCACCTGGTCGCTGAGGGCAAGCACTTCCTGGACGTGAGGTTTGTGCGTGTCCTGGAGTCTCCCTGGGAAATGCTGCCCACCTCTCACCCCCAACTGTGGGGAGTCAGACCCCTTACAGAGAGCCACCTAAGAAAGCGTCCATCTTCTCTCAGAACCTTCACTTTGCAAATGAGCTTCCAGAGTGGGGGCAGGTGTGGGGGTGGCGGCAGACAGCTGCCCCGTGGGTCCCAGCTACCCAGGGCCCTGTCCTGTGCCCAAGCTGGCCTCCAGTTCCCGTCCCCTCCTTCCGCGACTCACAGCGGGTGCCGGGGACAGGGCAGGTTATGTGCTCACACCCCCAGGCGGTGTGACCTTCCCACGCCCTTGTCTGGATTGTAGGCTAGGGGAGCTGCCCAGAGCACACCTTTCCCCACCCCTAGGCCTTGCCCCATTCTGTTCCCACCAGCTGAATGCTACCCAGGCCGGCAGCTTCTTGGCTCTGATGGTTGGGGTCCCATCTGCATCCTGGCAGGATCCTGAGCTCTTGCTTGTGCAGGTGGGCAGTCCCAGGTGGCCTTCCTGTACTCCTCTGCCGTGGGAAGGGGTGTCTCCCTCCTCCACACCTGTCCACCCAGACCTGCCTTCAGGCGGGGGCATTTCCCTGGCTGCGCCCACCCCTCCCCCCTGGGATTCGCCCGCTCTGAAGCCTCCTGTGTGATGCAGGCAACCCAGTCCGCACTTTGAGTCACCCTGACCTTGGTTGCTGGCTGACAACCCAATCATCCGTGAGCTGCCCCGAGTGTAGGAGTACAGAACTGGAGCTACTGTCCGGAGACTGTGACCCGTGACCAGCCCAGCATGTAGACCCTGTCCACATGAGCTGCCCGAGGCTGTTGTGGGACCCAGCCCTCGGCGCGGACGCAGGCTGTGGGGCTTTGTGTTCACCTGGCCCCCACCTAGGGCCCCATGTGAGCCTCAGTCAGCTGGGAGGCCCAGGGCTGCTGCAGGAGACCTGTTGGGGCCTGGCGCTCTCTCTGGCTGCGTGGCCCAGGGCTGGGAGCTGGGCCTCTCTGGGCCTGTGTTTCAGAGCCTGGGGCAGGGCAGGGGTGGGCAGGTTGTGCCTTCAGAGGGAGTGAGAGTTGGCTGTCCCATCACGGTGGGGGCCTAGTGCCAGATGGACTGTCCAGGGAGGAACAT